TCTCTGAATGCATTCGTTTGAACTTCTGTCTCTTTAAGTGTTCTATTCACTTTCCACAACACAATTTAGGAGCATGATTCTTCTCAGTGGACCCATCCAAGCTCTCTGCCTTCTCTTGGGCCTCAGTTTCTATTTAGGTTAAAATTGGAAAGAAAAAAGTAATGACTTTACCAGTGATATGTGCCAATGTCTGAAATTCAAAATATTTACTAGGAGTCAAATACTGAAGAGAATACATAATTTACCACAAAACAACAGCACTAGCTACTAATACATGCAAAAAAGAGAGATTGCTGCATCACTTTGATAAGATCACACAACTAGAGTTTACACAAAATACCATGCCCAAAAGCCATTAACCAAGATCAGTTTAGCCTCCTTTTCACAAACACTACAGCAGACTGTAAACTTATCCACATTTATTCAAAATATTGTGATAGGGGAAAAATCTTTAAATTGTTCTACTTAGAACTGTGACTGGATGATTAAATTGTCTTAAAGTCTAACTAAACTACATTAAGGCCACAGTCCTATGCATACTTATGAAAAAAAGATCCACTAAAATTAAACTGATTTCTGAGTAAACATGCATAGGCTTGTGTTGGAAGCTTGCTTATGTTCCTCTATACTGATCATGCTATTAGAACTCAATTCCATTAAAGTCACTAAAAGTTTTGCTGCTGCTCTAAGTAAGAAATAAAAGAATATTTGAGTACAAGGTGTCTTTTAAGACACAGCTGCCTTTATATCTATTAATAATTCTCTCTGATTATGAAAAATTAATTATTTTTCAGTTTGAATGGCATTGCCTTTACTCAGGGTTTAGAATCTGTATCAGACTTCATCGGTGGTAAATTTCTTGGAGGCAGAAAAACACCTTGATTAAACATTTATAGCAGCCATTCTCCATCTTTTTTGGCCATGGCCATAAACACAACATGAAAGAAATATATGCTGAATCAGGTGGTGTGTGAAGAATTGCTTCCAGACTATGGCCCTCTTCAAATGTTCCAGGGGTCCCCAGGGGGCCTTATGGCCTCCATTGAGAATGGCTGATCTAGAGCATTCAGGTGAAATCATATTTCTAATAGTAGTAGGCGCCCTTCAGTCTTGAGAGACTATGGTAACATGCTCTAAATAGAGGTCTTCGAACAGCATCTAGTGTAGCTGAGAAGGCCAGTTCAAGAGTGACAATCCCTTCCACACTGAAGACAAAAACAATCTGTCTCCTGTCCAGCTCCCTGATTTTACTGGTTTCGGGACTGCCTCTTTACCTGGGCCTGCTGAACAAGGGTCTCTTCAGATTGGGAGAGGCCATGCTGCATTGCCTGCCTCCAGGCTGAACGCTCAGATGTCGAAGTTTCCCATCTGTTGAGGTCCATATTTCTAATGGCAGTTGAAGAAACTGCAGAAACCTCATAAGTCTACTTCAAGTTATTTTGTAGTGGAAGGACAAGAAGACATGTTTCTTTTTCCACAAATGGAAGCCAAACAAGGATGAAAAAAAATCTAACTTGATTCGACAGCCTCAACAAAAGTCCACAGGAATTTTAATGGGGTATGAAAAAACAGAATCTCAGGTAACACTATTTAGCAAAGATGGAAAGAAAATGCAGATGGAATTTGGAGAAATGCAACAAAAAACAAGACTGCCAAATATCCACATCCCTATTTATTTAAAATATTTTCACCCCACCTTTCCCCCCAAAAGGACCCAAGGCAGATAGAGCCACCCTAGAACTGTCAAGACTGGCAGCTTAATTTTGCCTCAGAGTTAATGACATGCCCAGCATCGTCCATTAAAGCTATGGAAACCAGATAATCATAAGAGGTGGAGGTAGCAGCATGTATAGCTATGCCATAGAATCATGAATTAGAGATCCTAGAATTGTACAACTGGAAGCTGCTCCAAGTGTTACCGAGTTCAATCCTTGCTAATGCAAGAGAGCTGCTGTTGTCTTTCAACATCTCCCCCACCCCGGCCAGGACATAGTATTGCAGTTGTCCACCTAATGGTAGGGTCAGCTTTTCCCTTTTCATGATCCCGAGGTTGTGTAACAATCCTAAGTGAAAAACAAAATCAAGTGACACAGAGGGATACATAAGTGTTAGTATAAAAAATTCAAGTGAGTCTGATGACTATATAAGCCCCACATTGCAGTTTCCATATATTTGGTGGGGGATCTGTCTCACGAAAAAAAAAGGGTTATTACAATGAAACAATTTCATCAGTTTTGTTTCTTGTTGCAACCCTTTTCTGACTTGGCTGTGATTTCTAAATTGTTTGGTTATAAGTTATTACAAACAGTAATTCTTTTTTTTAACTTTATGGCTGAGTTGAATTGAGCACTTACTTTCTTGACAGAAATCAATGATTCAATTAATGCTGCACACCATGTCAAAAGAAAAAAAAAAGATGCTTAACCCAAAATGTTACAAGTAATTTGCTGAATGGAAGGTTTTGGAATATGACAGTTAAACCAATAGCACTGTTAGACCATAAAGAAAGCTGACCACCGAAGAATTGATGCTTTTGAACTGTGGTGCTGGAGGAGGATCTTGAGAGTCCCCTGGACTGCAAGGAGAACAAACCTATCAATTCTAAAGGAAATCAACCCTGAGTGCTCACTAGAAGGACAGATCCTGAAGCTGAGGCTCCAATACTTTGGCCATCTCATGAGAAGAGAAGAGTCCTTGGGAAAGACCTTTATGTTAGGAAAGTGTGAAGGCAAGAGGAGAAGGGGACGACAGAGGATGAGATGGTTGGACAGTGTCATCGAAGCGACCAATATGAATTTGACACAACTCCGGGAGGCTGTGGAAGACAGGAGGGCCTGGTGTGCTGTGGTCCATGGGGTCACAAAGAGTCAGACATGACTGAACGACTAAAGAACGACGACTTGTACCTCAGAAACTGTGGCCCAACAGTTGGGAAAAAAAGTTTTGCTTTATGTCAGAGAGACATTTACTGAAAGTACAGCTGCATCCTCTGGCATATTTCCATTCATATAGGAATTCTAAATTTATAGACACCTGTAAACTTCACTTCACATATGAATTTTAATGCAGTACTGTATATGGGTTTGCACTCTGATAACATACGAGCATCATTTTCAGTCTTTTGCAAAAATTGTATTATTGCAAGGTATACATAGTCCGTCTGCTTTCTATGGTGTAAATGGAACCAGAGCCCATTTATAATCTTTCTCTAAGCTCTGATAAGAATTCATGAGACCTCTGGAGTGATATTTAGGGACAGTCAAATAGACTGCAGTATGAGATATAAATCCTGCATTGTTTACTTCCACTTCTTTGATATCTTAGTCCAGGACTAAAAGGTCATAGATAAAGTTTTGTGCAGCCCAAGGGATTCTATGTTTGTATACAAATATTTATAATTTTAGTATTGCACAGATAAGCAAACATAAGAACAGTTGGTGGTATTTAAAATATATATATATAAAGTTAGGAATAATAACAAGGTAGCAGGAATACATTCTGATCTTATATAGAGACTGACAGGAAAACTAACTGCCTTGTCTCTCTAGATTGGAGTCCACAATTGTCTGTGAATGGCCAGTGCCATGATTGGACTCTGGATAGCTTCAGCTCCCACTTTTCAGATACCTTTGTATCAAGTGATGACATTGGTAATTGTGAATTAAGGATGAAATTACACTAGTCAACCACATGAAGTAAAATATCATCAGTAAGAGCAAAATAAAAACTTTAAAAAGACAAAGACATGGTGATATCTCAAATACTAACTTTCCCATGAAAGCTCACATTATATATATTAATGTGAGCTTTCATAGGAAAGTCTGCTGCAGTGGAATTGTCCATGAAAGCTCACATTAAAAAATATATAAGTTTGTCTTTAAGGTTGCCAACACATCTCTGTCTCTTTTTTTTAACTTTTTAATTTCTATTTTGCTCTTATGTATAATACTTGCACAGACCAACACGGCTACCCTTTCTACAACTATGAAGTGAAATGACATGAAAAACAGCCCCAAATGCTACTCAGCTGGGCAAGCTGTGATGGTATCAGATAAAAACCCAGCTGACTTGATGCAAACTAATGAGTCTGGAAAGCCTTCATACAGAAACAATACTGAGAGTAACTGGGAAAATGACCCTCCTTCCACTGTAGGAGAAAGTACAGAACCAAGGAAAAATTAGGAGGGGACAGGCTACTGTTACAAATCCAAACCCTCCCCCTGGTGAAATAAAGGAATCCCTCCTGGAGGATTGGAGTATGGAAGTGGGGCAAAGCACCTTTCACATCCTCCCACCAGCTGGGTGTAATAGCTGTGGTATGCTTGGGCTTCTGTGACCCAGTGTAGCCCACACTTCCCTTAAATCATATCCCCTTTTTAATATGTTGAAGAATGGCCTACTGCTGGCAACACTGAAGCTCTGGCAAACCAGAACACCCTCCTGATGGAATGAAAGCATCGGTCCTCACAACAGGAATTTCCTTTCCTTGAGATTAAAAATGTAAGCCCAGACAAAGCAGAAAGCCAGAGGAATATGGAGAATGTTGATGAAATGCAGTCGGGCCAGTCCTCAGACTACATAGGCTGAAAAGTAAAATCTAGGAAGTGAATCTGCTTATTTCCTTCATCCTTCACAATTTATCTTCAGAGCATCAAGCCATACGCAGAGTAACCTGAGAATTGGTTCAACTGCAATTTAATCAATATTCTCCTTGTTGCTCTGACTTTTGTTTACCGCAAAAATACATCTCTAGTATTGCCAATGGACTTCAGGGTGAATTTGGCATTTTTCACACCCACCAGAGGATAATTGAAAATGGGCATTTATATGACCAGCAAGAGATACAGCCCTTTTACCTAGACAAGAGGCTGAGTTCTAGATCAGACAGGGAACAAAAATGAGGGCTGCTTCTTAGTCTAACAAATGCCGCTGCTGTAGCTTATAAGGCAAAGCGTTTATAATGACTCTATTAAGTAGCTTGAGAGCCCTTCATCACTCACATTGATGTCTTCCAAATCTAAGTTGTTCAGAGCAACATTGTTCCGCTTCCAGATGATGGGAGGCCTCAAGGTCCCCTGAATGGCACAACTTAGCACTGCACTTTGTCCTACTGTTGCTGCCGTGGTGCTTATTCTCTGATCTTCTGGCAGATTCAGTTGAATTACTTCTGTAAAAGATATGTTGTATTTCATGTTAATTAGCATATACAGTATCTGCACCCTGATCGCTTTAAGGTTTTAATTTGAATCAAAAGGAAAATAATTTCCAAATGAAGGCAGGAAATAGAATGGTTTCAAATAAAAGGTCAGCCTGACATTTAAATTAGCTTGACTGACAAGCCCTTGCCTAATGAAAAAAGTGAGGCTTTTAACATGAAATGATTTCAAAAGAAAAGAGCAAGGCACAATGGTTTCAAAAATACATCAAATATATTATAAAATACTGTATTTATTCAGCCTAGCCATATTAGCGCTGCACTCATCTGTATCAATATACACATAATGTGGTTGCTTCATGGTTTTGACGTATCCTTACAGAAAGCAGGATAGGTGAGCCAATTATGAAATCAAATGGAGCACAAAGCTGGGAATTCTTGGCTTTTCTCCATTTTGCATTTTGGTGGCCATCCTTTCTAGACACTTTCAGGGCTGCTTGTATCCATTTATCAGAGCAGAGCTTCTTAAGCATGAATGGAAGAATTTTGAGAAAGCAGAAGACTGTAGGTAAGAAAAGGCTTAGCTGCTCTAATTGGTATGTATCTTCTGAGAAAGGGTAGGTGAGCAATATGCTGGGTTTGCATTTAAGTGTTAACTTGGCCAGTTCATTCCACCCAGTACCAGATCCAGAGATGAACTATTTTTGTGACTCAAAATCAGTACAAGGAGATTGTGAAATTATCTGCAAACGAAAAATCATGGAGTGGGAAGAAATGTTTCCATGTGAAAATATGGAAAATATGTCCATTTGAAAATGGACATATGGAAAATATGTCCATTTGAAATACACATTTGTTTGTTTGTTTCCTGCCTTGCTCATTTGCAGGACCAAAGGTGGCTTGCAGCATAATTTTTTTTAAAGGTTCCGCTAAAAAACACTGTATATTGCAATGTTAAAACATTCTTAAATTGATTATCAGAATGAAACAAATACACAATACAGTTTAAAACCTTTTCAAACCAGCTTCAACCATGTGAAGTATCAACAGTTAAGAACACCTGTCATTAAAAGATCTTGATCTGTGGCCAAAGTCCAGTTCAAATCAAAATGTCTTTAGCCTGCCCTTGAAGTGAATGCTTTGGGTTGGAAGCAGTTTTAATGTGTGAGTGCATTCCTTGCCACTGCTGAGACCTGGACTCCTGGTGGTCAGGGCCAAATCCAGGACCATGCTCAAGTTGCAAACCCATCCAGCAAAGGTTGAATCCCTATTCCCTGGTCTTTCAGGTGAGCACTTCTGTCTTGCCTGTATTAGGTGTCCATGTGATCACCCTTGTCTAGACCTTTACTGACCCCGGACATAGATTTAGAACCAAGACCGCTTCCTTGGATTTGGATGGAAAGTAGAGATCTAACTGGGTATTAACCACATACTGGTGGGACTGAATCCCAAAAATAACGTCAGAAGGTTCATGTAGACCAGGCATGGGCAATCCTGTTCAAGCCAAGGAACCAATTTCTAGTTTGGCTGACAAGCCGCCCTCCTGAAAAGAAAAATGAAAGATGAAAAACAAACCAGTCCCAACACTTAACCAACATGGTGTGTGTGTGTGTGTGTGTCTGTCTGTCTGTGTGTGTGTGCGTGCACACCCACACACACCCACACACACACACACACCATGTTGGTTAAGCGTTTTTTAAAAAGCTAAAGATGAGCCAGAAAAGCAGTTAGGAGGCACACACACATATATAAAGCAGTTAGGAGGCACATAAACACTGCTCTACTCCAAAATATTTGGGTGTTCCTTTGGACTGAACTGTGTTCTGCAAAAAAAAAAAAAATTCTAAATACCAAACATAAAGTTGCTGCCAGAAAAAAAAATACTTAGGAAAATGGTTGGGTCAGACTGGGGTAACACCAAACAGAATGTTGCTGCCAGAAAAAGAAAATAGTAAGAAAATCACTGGGTCAGATTGAGGTGAATGCCTGCAAACAATAAGAACAACAGCTTTGTCCCTAAATCACTGAGGTGCATGCCTACAAACAATAAGAACAACAGCTTTGTCCCTGTGCTACTCCACAGCAGAATATGCTAGTGCTACGTGGTATAAATCAGCACATACCAAACAAGTCGATGTATGTCTTAATGAATCATGCAGGATTATTACTGGCTAACAGAAACCTAACCCCAAAAGTCTATCATTTGACTCACATTTCTCCTCTAGAAAGGTGCATGCCTACAAACAATAAGAACAACAGCTTTGTCCCTGTGCTACTCCACAGCAGAATATGCTAGTGCTACGTGGTATAAATCAGCACATACCAAACAAGTCGATGTATGTCTTAATGAATCATGCAGGATTATTACTGGCTAACAGAAACCTAACCCCAAAAGTCTATCATTTGACTCACATTTCTCCTCTAGAAGAATGTCAAGAGGTGTTAGAAAATACTGAACAGTAATAGGCAATCAGCATCAAACCCCTTTCACTTCATGGACAGTCTATGGGAACCACTCTGTAGACCAATCTGCTGTTCTTGGACTGCAACTGAAAGAAGCCTTCACCACTAACAGTTCTGGCTGTTGTTGCAATCCAAGAACACCTGGGTTACTCAAGGTTGGGAATGCTCTAGATGATGGCTCTAGATGATGGCTAAAATTGAGGAAATACTTCCTGCACACATCTCAAGCTCTAAATACTAAACTAGGAGACACAAGGCTGAACCTATGGAGAACAAAAACACACCTTGCCAAATTGTTTCCCACAAGAATTACAGATGGAACATCTGGAAGTTTACTTCATAGACTTTAAAACATAGTAGAAAGATAAAATAATAATCTTGGATACAGGACAAATTTTCTGTGACTGTGGAGAAATTTAATCAATGCAGCACTTACATTCATGCAATCTATACCCTATCATGAGTACAAAAGAACATTTTAGCAAATGACCAAGATAATGCTATATAAGTAATCCACTGTTTGTTGTAGGTTTTTCAGGCTGTTTGGGTAAGTAATCCACTATTTGTTGTAGGTTTTTTAGGCTGTTTGGCGGTGTTCTGAAGGTTGTTCTTCCTGATGTTTCGCCAGTCCCTGTGGCTGGCATCTACAGAGACTGGCAAAATGTTAGGAATAACAACCCTCAGAACACGGCCAAACAGCCTGAAAAATTTACAACTATCGGATCCCAGCCGTGAAAGCCTTTGAGAATACAAAGTTATCCACTACTTAATTATCAAATGGTATAATTATCGTAACATTTTAACTTGATTTTAATTTTACCAATATCTCATATAAATCTATAATTTTAAATTGTGCAATGCTCTGATACAAATAAATAAAATGGTTTAATATTGTTTATATTTTTGTGTAAAATAAAAGGTTTTCACTTTAATTGTTGTGACTGAGTTGGGAAGTCCTCAGTTGGACTGAATCCTTCTGGGTTAACATAGTTGGCAACATTAAAATAGTCTAATTGAAGACATCTTGGATCAATTAGCCCAATTAATATGAAAACTAAATATGAATTTTAAATAAAATTCAGTGCTCAAACAATGGTTAAGTGCCAAATAGGTGTAAACATGGTGAGCTATGTAAAAAATAGTTGCAGATAAATTGGAAAATTGACATACAATCAAGCTGATGTTTTTTCATCAGGAAATCACAACAGGCATTTCTTTTACTGGGATTTTTTAAAAGTAAGGTGTGGGGGGAAGGACCACATAAATTGCCTTGAAGCTGCACGATGCTCATTTTTATGTCTATATTAAATAGCATATGGGTACAACAGAATCCTGATGGAGCCCAGAGATGAATAGCCAAAACATGAAAAAGGAGTTTCTCAACACTGCCTTCCGAGCTTGGCCTCCAGGAAGAACCACATTCAGTATAAAACGACACCTCCAAGACCATTTTGAGAGAGAAGGTCCAGAAGGATACAATGGCTGGTAGTACTGAAAGCCACCAAGCAGTCCAATGAGACCAAACAGGGACATGATTCCTCTTTCTAATTCCTGGCGTAAGTTCTTCACCAAAGTGATCATAACTAGATCTGATGTCAAACTGAAATGGGTCTAGATAATCTGTGGAAGGACTTTTGGGGCTAGGAAGCCATCACATGCACACAAGCACACTTTAGTCATTAGGAGGGCCCTTCTGTTGATTTGAAGAATCAGTTGTTCCATATCCAGTTCTAATTGTTGCTTCCTGTCCCACATACAGATTTCTCAGGAGGTAGATAAGGTGGTCAGGCATTCCCATTTCTTTAAGAACTTGCCATAGTTTGCTGTGGTCCACACAGTCAAAGGCTTTTGCATAGTCAATGAAGCAGAAGTAAATGTTTTCCCGGAACTCTCTGGCTTTCTCCATAATTCAGCCCATATTAGCAATTTGGTCTCTAGTTCCTCTGCCCGTTCGAAATCCAGCTTGTACTTCTGGAAGTTCTCGGTCCACATACTGCTGAAGCCTACCTTGCAGGATTTTGAGCATAACCTTGCTAGCGTTTGAAATGTGCAATTGTATGGTAGTTGGAGCATTCTTTGGCACTGCCCTTCTTTGGGACTGGGGTGAAGACTGATCTTTTCCAATTCTCTGGCCACTCCTGAGTTTTCCAAACTTGCTGGCATATTGAGTGTAGCACCTTAACAGCATCATCTTTTAAGATTTTAAAGAGTTCAACTGGAATGCCATCACTTCCACTGGCTTTGTTGTTAGCCATGCTTTCTAAGGCCCACTTGACTCCAGGATGTCTGGTTCAAGGTCAGCAACCAGACTATCTCAGTTGTCAGGGACATCCAGATCTTTCTGGGATAATTGCTCTGGGTATTCTTGCCACCTCTTCTTGATGTCTTCTGCTTTTGTAAGGTCCCTTCCATTTTTGTCCTTTATCATGTCCGTCTTTGCTCAAAACGTTCCTTTAATATCTCCAGTTTTCTTCAACAGATCCCTGGTTTTTCCCTTTCTATTATTTTCCTCTATATCTTTGCACTGTTCATTTAAGAAGGCCCTCTTG